ATTCTATGATTCTATGATTCTAAATATACCCACGTAATGTTGCCATGGAAATAGAGAATTTTGATGTAAATATAAATTTTCTGTATCTACCTTATTTCACTAACACAAATAAGCAAAGCTGCAATCAGAGAACTGCCATGCCTTTATTATCTTTTAGTGCTTGGCATTGTCTACTGAAAATCAGAAGACAGTGGGAACAGGACATTTTAGCTACTATAAGACTATCATGTCTTGATCACATTTTATGTGCGTGCTATGTTAAACTGTTATACAGCACTGTGCATCTAAAAACTGTTCAAATGTTTTTCAGGTCTTATCCATATCTTATAGGTAGGATCATAAACTGAGTCAGTACACTGCTCTGGCGTGATACCTGGGCCCTCATTTAATCACATCATTTAGCCATTAAGAGACATAATGCATAAATAGTAGAGCAGAGGTTGTCTATTTTACAATGAGAGTACGCAATGCCCAAAGCTATACTCCAAACTGGGAAAGAGAAACAATTATCCTTGAACTTATGCTGCAGGGGCACTGCCGGCAAAAGACCATGCAGCTTATTAAAATAAGTATGTGAGAAATATAGCGAAGAGCAATCAAAATAGAGCATGCATAAATTGAAATAAGTGTTATAGAAAGTGGATTGTGCTAATTTAACTAAATCTGTTTCTAAATCAAGATAGTTTAACTCAGAATACTGTTCATGTATATACAAGACAATGTAATTACCAAGTAGTCTTCAATTCCAGGAGCTATTATGCTACTTGGGGAGCAGAGCTGTTGGGACTGGTGAAAGTTTGCAAACAAGTCCCAGGGTATTTACGAAGTAAGGGACCAATGCTGAAAATGGATACAGTCTTGGAAGGTCCTGTTCATAGCGGGTTGTGGAGCAAGAGACATGCTCAGTGAATAACAGGTGGCTCAGGCTGGAGAACAGGAGGTCGCTGCGTGTGCTGGAGACCTTTAGTAACAAGGCTGTTTTGAGGTAGGTACCTTTTACAGAAGTCCAGTCAGCGGTCTCTCCCCTCGGAGGGCTGGAGATCCACGAGGCGAGCTGGTACTTTTGCGTGGTTGAAGAAAGGGATTTCTGCATCCGTGAAAACACTGGCAAGTTTTTTGTCCATTTTGCCCTTTTATCTGTTAGTTCACAACAAAACTATTGACGCTATTGGCCAAGCTCAAAAAAATTTGACCGGAGGCTAGGTCTCGAAGATACGAGATGCCAACAGTAGGTCTGTTAAACCTGTGACCTGGCAGCAGCCTGGGGCAGCCCCAGCCGCACGCATGGCTGGTCTGAGCACCACAGGTATCATCTCGTGCCCAAATATGAAGTCAAGCAAAAGAAACGGTGGAAGAGAGAGGACAGAGCAGCACGGACTGAGATTAGGGATTGTAGCAACTGTGACGGGATCTACGTGGACCGCAGGGAGAGGTCAGAGGAGGTACTATGGGTGGGCAGGAATTCTGGGCTAGGATGCTGGGGAGATAAGGGGAGGTGTGGTGGAGAGGGTAGAAGGAGCTGCGGGTGTTGTGAGAAGTGGACACGAGAAAGAGAACCTAGACTATTGCAGTGGCAGTCTTTGAAAGACGTGGGCTAGGTTATTGAGGGAATTCACATTTATTGGTCACCCCTGTCTGCGAGTTTTCTGCAAATGGTGGGCTGGGTAGAGGAGGGAAATTTCCCTATCTAATAAAAAAAAAGTTTACTCTGCAAGTTCAATACAAATCTCTTAAAACGTCAGTCAGTCATGAGGCACAAGAAGATGTCGTTGGTTATGGTTCTTGCTATGTCTGAGAAAGGAGCCCTGGGAGCCAGTCTCACTTTACGCCTTAGAAGGGAGGAAAAGTTGAACAGCTTCTCCCAAAGTTTTTCCCAAATTTCCCTCCCACAAAAATGCAATTCTGGGAAGAGAAGAAAATTTCAATGTTTTCAGCCTTACACCATAAAATGTTTTTAAGATTATGGGCATGTGTAAAAAAAGGACCTGCTAAAAGGCTGCAGACTTGGCTGGAACATTTCTCTGCACAAATTTGTTCAAAGTTTTTTCGTACGAATGAATCGGAAGTGCTTTCCACCGAGCAATCGTGAAATGTCTGATCCTTCTCACTCCTACAGAATCAGCTAAACTGATTTGCAGCACAGGAACACAGATCAGTTCAGACATCTCTTTCTGTCCACTCCAACTTGATTGCTTTTGGTGCACTCCCTGTGTACCACTATTACCTCTGCATGTCAAACACATCAGTGTTATGCTGTGGGAGCATCTTTGCTACAGTTATGTTTGCATTGGCTGATAAGGATATATTTTTATCCAGGGTGGACATGATTGTGTGCAGCCACACAGATGTGACTGCATTAAATGATGTAGCAGTGTGCAATCCATCAGTTTCCACATATTGTTGCCTGTTTTTACCTCGGATAACTGATTAGCTATCTCATTGTAGAAAACGCAGCTGGGACAAGCACTTAGATGAGAAGTAAAGTAGATGAGAGTCTTTGGCTGATCTCCACAAGCCACGTCATGACAAATACTGCCACTTTAGGATTTTAGAGAAAGTCAACAAAAAACATTTATTGCACTGTAAGAAACACACACTGAAAAAGCACTCAGTGTCACTAAAACAATGCCCAAGGAAAGAGCAATGTATTCTTACTTAATGTTATTTAATCACTGGCAACTCATACAAACTAAAATTCCAATGAGATACACAGTCAATTCATCTCAGATGCTAACTCAAGTGAACACTGTAGCTGTGCTTTCTAGATGAATATTCAACCATTTGTCATTTGCTGCACAACAGTGCACACACACTGGTTTTTTTTAATAGTGAAAACACAGCTGAGAGAGATGCTACTAAAACGTAGACCAGGAGACTTTCAAATAAGATAATGTGATTCTACCCTTAAGCATTTTTCTTCCAAGGCCTCAGAGGTTTCTGCTGAATGTTTTATCAACAAAAAATACAGAATTTGCTTCACTAGTTTATCCTTTTCTGTCAATCAGAATATTATATATTTTTTCTATGTCTGTCTATAGCAGTGTAAGAGGCAGCCATATATTCCAGAAATTCTTCTTTCTATTAGTGCAAGGCAGGAACAGCATCTTTAAAGGAATTCAGTGGTGAGTGAATTCACATGTACTGCATGTGCTTCAGCAAGACAGATGGATTTTTGAGACTCTGCAACTGGGTGGTTTTAAAACCCTTGAGAAGTCTACTCCAGGGACCTCAAGGATTTTATAGTTAGCCCAGGATACATACTGCATCCTTTGTACTCAAAGGTATCTATTTAATAGCTTAGTAGTTGTATGACTATTTTCTTACCTCTCAGAATGTTATAATGTGCAGAAACTACCTTCCTCTGAGCCAGACTTTGGTATCTCAACATCTATTAGATTACTTCCTAGAAGCTACCACTGTATTTAAAAAGTCAATAATACTTTCTGAGATGTTTTTCTTCTCAAATGGACGTGATGCTGTCTTTGCCTTCCCAAATTTTAATTTCCCATTCAGATTACAATATGCATCCAAGCGTCCTGTGCTGAGCAGGTTTGCAGAAAAACAGCTGCTAAAAATTAGTTAAGTGACTCTGTGTCACACACGTAGCAGATTATTAATCTGCTGCTATAGATTATTAGGAAGGTGTTAACTCATGCTTGACCATAATATCTTATTCTCACTTAAATGTTTTGACTTTCTCTTTTTCTAGTACCTGCATGCAAATGGAATTGTGCATCGTGACTTGAAGCCAGAAAACCTACTCTATGCAACGCCAGCACCGGATGCACCACTAAAAATCGGTGAGCAGCATTAAACGTATGCTTCCCTAATTCCTTTGTACCAGTAATATGTGCTAACTGATGTTTACAGTATATACATCTCACCACCACTTTATTCAAAGCTAATGCTTATACTCAAATGAACAGCATGTTACTTCTTCAGCAGCACAGCCGAGCATGGTGTTTTTAAAACCAATACAAAACTAGATGCTTGCTTAGAGAATATCTAGCCAAAATTGTGCGGAATGTGGCAAAGAATAAAGAGCTCAGGAGGAACAGGAAGGATCATGAGATCAGCATATAGCTGTGTGCACCACTTCTGTGCCCCTTTTTTTCATTAAACTAGTATTCTAAGAGGAAAGATTCATTGGCATGAAAGTACAAATATGCAGGTAAGTGGTAGAAAGCAAACTGAGCAAGGCTGACTTCTGTTTTGAAGGCAGGTTTGAAGGGTAATAAGTGATCTTCGCAAAGAGCATAGGGAAGCTATCTGAAGCACGGTCAGCACCATGGGGGGGATGAGGAGGGACAAGGTGAGACCAGGCTCTCCTGATGGGCATGTATCATGCCAGTTCTGTTGGGGATGGCGGCCGCTTGCAAAGGGCATGACCTCCAAAAATGCTGGGTATGCCCAGTTTTTGCTTGAGCAAAGAGGAGCTCTGTACAATGCTCCTGAGGTGGGTTTGGAAATACCACCTCGTGCTCCCTTACCGGGGAGTGTGGGAGCATGTGAGCATGCAAGAAGTGAGTGTTGCCACGTTCATCAGGCCGGTGTTCACCCTGGGTTTCAGGAGCCAGATTTCCACAAACTAGTCTCAAGCAATTTAATATAACTTTCTAGGAAAGTCTTGCATCTCAGAATGATGGTACCTTAATTTACATTTTATCCTAGTGCTTACCTTTCCTGGAAAGGCTCTAAACAGCTGTAATGTGATAGTTTAATGCAGCACCCAGTGTCCTTGGTTTGACAGCCACTGGTTAAGATTATTGCCTTGTTTAAATTGAAATTGGATTTGCAATGAGTGACAGTGTTTATAAACGTAAAGTATATTTCTGTTTAGATAAATAATAATACAGAAATTATAACCATTTAGGGACAAGTGAACCCTAACTATGCATTTCTGGAATAAAATAAGAACTATTTTTATCCTGATCTTAAGTCAAAACATTCCTTTTTATATTCACTGTAACAAAACAAAAATGCTTTTATTTTGCATTTTTTAAGGCCAGATTGTCATCACCTAAATTGAAATTTGAAGAAGCTCAGTTTATTCTCAGTGAAAACTAAAAGAGTTGTAAAGACTTCAGGTTTTATGCCTTTTAAAAAGTGAGTGATGCAAGTACAACACGTAATGTCATGAAGGCTTTTGCTGTCTGAGTAGTAATTCAGGGTGGAAACGCTGCAGAAAGGATGATCTTCTTCCCCTGGCACAATCTCCATGCCCCTAGAAGCCCTCTATCAAAATACTGCTGGGATTTTGTCTCGCAGGGACTGCATACTCTGAGTCTTATCCAAGAAATCACTAATGCACAATTTTTTAACCCAAAATTGTTCTGTTAATTTTATTGGATTACTCACAGAGTGGATGCTGAATATATACCTAGAATGCATTTCTGGATCGCTGCTTGTAAGCCCGTAGGCATCTCATTGTATTGGCTTTGTGCAGTCTTCAGAATAAAATACAAGCTACATTTCTGTCAAGCAAGAGCCAGGGATACTCATTCATATGGACAAATTTTGCTTCTGGATTGCAGTCTGGGTAGATTCTTTAAACTGATCTTCATCTCTGGAAATGACAGTAACTGTTTATGTAATGCATAAATGTTCTTTTAATTACATATACAATGTGAAAAAAAAAGGATTTTATAAGAAAGTAAGAATATTAATATTCCTAAACAATCTTAACAGCTGACTTTGGACTTTCCAAGATTGTGGAAGATCAGGTGACCATGAAGACAGTTTGTGGAACTCCAGGGTACTGTGGTACGTTGTTTTATTATTTACAGTATGCTGCACTTAATGTGAGGATGTTAACATTTTCTCTTTCCAAGGTGAAATTCTTCTTCCTAAAGTCAAAATTCAAAAAGCCCCTAAAAAGCAGAAATAAAAAACTAAAATTCAGAACTGGCACTGGATTACATTTTCTAAACTGATATTCTCTATCACTGAAGCTAAATAATCAAAAGATATGTTAAGATGCAAGTTCATTACTTGCATGGAAATAAGTTTGACCATCATAAAAATGCTGAAATTACTAAAATAATACTGGAGAGGCATCAGCAGAAATTTGGACTATAAAAGGCATAATGGAAAACACAAAAAATTTATAAAGTTCATAACAATTATAAATATTTGAATATTGCTTACGCTGAATTTATCTTAAAGTAATTTTTTTTGACATAGAGGAAATCAAATTATTCCTTAGAGTAGGGTCATAAGTTAAACTCCTAAACCCAAAACATTTCAGATACATGGTTTTAAATTCAGGCTTGACTCAGACCTTTCTGGTCCATGCTGGAGCGGGACCTGTATAACAGAATTATGAGTGCAATATCAAGGAGCGCTTTGTGGCAGATCTTGTCAGCTGGGGCGACTGGTGTAGATCTAGTCATCCTTTCAGCAGTGAAAAGGCTTTGGCAGTTTTAACTAATCCTGTTTTCTCCTAAACAAAGTAAGAATGAAATCATAGGTTTGCTTCAGTTTTAGCAAGAGTGAGAGTCAGTATGAACTGCTGCTTACCAAAATGACTAGTTTGCCTGTGCATTCACAATGCTTCAACAAGCATGAGTTTATGGATGACTTCAGAACAAACATCTAACTCATGAGCTTAGCACTGTATTACACAAGGATGGTAATTTTAATTCCTTTAGTAATTAGAAATTAGGAAATTATACACTTAATGATGTTGGGTTTATATTTTTCAGTTGGTGGCCTTTAAGGACACTTTCTACTTGTTTAACTGTAGTTAACAAAGTTTAGAAACTGTGTTTCATCTCAGTTGCCCTGTTCTTACATGTTTCTCTTTTTTCCAAAATCACAGCTAGTTCATGCTTCTCAGTCTTGTAGCTTTTCATAATGTAAGGTGTCTAATTTGAATGCAGGAAAACCACCACTGATACTTCAAATTAAAACAAATTTCTGTAGAATCACATTTAGGTAAAAATACGTTACCTCACTGTCATATGGGAGAGTGAGGTTTTGATAAGCAAGTGAAAAAACATAGTACTGGTAACAGTCCATGAATAATTAGGAACGTGGGTTTTTTCTCCATTGCTTTTGGAGAAAATAAGTGGGGCAGAGAATGAACACTACAATTGCTGTATGCATTACACGCAAACAATGCCATAGCTGTGCTATACGTCGGATATCAGTAATCCAAAGAGGATATAACTAAAACCAACCCCCAAAAAATCCAAAATCTAAAATCAGAGTTCAAGCGCATAACCTGCCACAGTAGGGAGAAAGGAAGCATACAACTGACCTTGAAAAAAATAATTTAAAAGATGCTGCCGAGCCCCAGCGGCCATTCACGCGTGGGGCCGGAGCATTTCGCTCTGCCCACGGGGCTATGGCGGGAGCTCGTCCTGCTGCAGGCGGGGACGTGCCCAGCCTGGCTATCCCCTGCGCACAGCAGACTTTTCTTCAGCAGCGTCCCCAGGTAGGAAGGGATGGCACTGGCCTGTAGGATGCTCCGTCCCTGCGGAGAGCCTCCGGCCTGCCTGCGGGCGGCTGGTCTGCGCAGCAGGGCAGAGCCCTGCTGGATTCTGGCTCCGTTTCCTGTGGTGGCACCGAGCCGTGCAAGGCTGAGCAGCCGGCAGCTGGACGACGCCTTGCAGATTGCCTGGCAGCTTTCAGCAGGGCATCCGTGCATGCTGTCGAGCTCCCGGTACAGCACCCTTGTGCACAGCTTCGCTGTCAGAGCAGCTCTTGGACACGCGCAGAAACTCACCTGGACTCCTGGAACCAGAAAATGAGCTAGAAATGGATCCTCCAGTGCCAGAACATGCAAAAAAAAGAACATGGCAAAAGAGGATTGCAGCTGCCTCTTCAGTCTGCTTGCCCTTCATTGCAAGGCACTTCTATGTCAGCAAAGCAGCTAATGGCCCGGGAGGCTGGTGATCTTGTTTACACCAGGGCAAGCCTGCTGGGCTTCCCATGGTGGATGCTCACCTCCAGCAACCAATGTGATCTTGTGGAGAAACCTATTTCTGCTATTCTTGCTGAACTCTAGATCCTGAATGGGCTCCTACAAGAGGCTGCAAGTTGCTAGCAGTGTCCTGGGTGATAAGCATCTGAGGTAGTTTTGGACAGAGCTGAGCCAAGCAGTGCAGAAACCAAAGACTTGGCATTTGCTTTTATAAATGTAGAGGCAAAGGAAAGAGAACATTGGAGAAGACCATAAGATTACTCTGCTACCTCGTAGTACAGCTGATAATGCAGTTCAGGTGACATGTCCATTACCTTGTACGACATTCTCTGCCGAGCACACACAGGTGCCAAGTATGCTTTAGAGCAGCACTGAATTCCAGTCTGCTTAGTTTCGTAAAACCGTACTTCACATATTGGCTATTAACGTTCGGGTTGTCTTCTCTCATGACAGTTATACTACAAATGCCATAAAACTGTAGTTAGTATTTAGCCCTTTTTATGCCTGTCTTTGCATAATATAAAAATAGGATGAGGCTTATTCCCATAGAAGAGCCCTCAGAGTAGGGACGACTTGGTGGGGAGGGTTGGGGCTGAATGTCTGTGCTGAGAAGAGAAGAAAGGAGCTTTGTGCCTACAGACATGAACCTGCAGTCCTTGCTTTACAACCCGAGTTAACTCGTTAACATAACCCGAGTTAACATGCAGAATTCCTGGTGCCTGGAAAATATTCAAGCATTACTTTCCAGAAGTGGAGGAAACCCAGGAGCAATACTGTTGAAATGCCAAATTACACTATGAATAATTGATAGTCACAGGCTGCCAACTCCCACATCCTGCCCGCCCAGCTATCAGCAGCTTCTCCAGAAAGGACACAGCAACAAAAACACTTACTGGAGCCAGGATACTTTGGCATCAAGACTGGGACGTGCAAAGTGATGCAGAGGACTGAAAGCAAGAAGATGGTCACAAAGAACTTAACTTGCTGAGGCATTGTGCTTTCAGTGAACTTAAGAAGGGCATAAGTGATTTCTGACAGTAGGACGTAAAAATAAGCCAGTGCAGAGTAGTGATTCATGATCAGTCTGTCAGAGTCAACATCTAAACTAGCAGCAACATATCTGTCAAATCCATTCACCAAAAGCAAACTCCTGGAAATATTAAAAAATTATATTTACAAGATGTATAACCATGTGATCACAGTCCAGGTACCAAGGCAGCCCTGTATATACAAAGATTTGGTCTCCTTTGTGGCCATTTTACAATACTGAAGTGAAAGGAGGAGAAAAGAAAAGAAGGGCAGGAAGTGTCTTCTGCCCTTATCCTGAGCAAGAAGACATCCCAAGAAACATTGCGTTCTCTAGAAGAGGAAGCATATTGGCCATTAAACAGAAAAACTGTCCTATTTACTTCAGAACCCCCCACATGGCATTAACAAACATGGCAGGGAGAACGGTGGTTAACATCTCTTTTTTGGGTCCATCTCCCTCACTTTCTCTGAAGCCATTGACTGCTTTGCTTGTAGGCCGTCCTGTTAGCTATGGGTTGACCTGAGTTAAAATCAGTTGGGATCTAGTGTCCCTTCTCAAAAACACCCCCTCTCTGTTCATCGGTTTACCTAGCAGAAGAATAAGGAGGCAGGGAAAGTCTGTGCTTAGACTGGCAAGTGTTTGCCCAGCTGCCAGCTGTACGAGTGGTATGTAGCAAATTTAGTGATTAATGTCCTTTGCCTTCTATATTAATGCTTTGTAAAAATGCTTCATGTGTTCCCTGCATGGTAAATCCTTCAGGTAAGTTGAAGAAGTCTGAGCCAGCTGCCTGGAGGCCATTAGGGAGTTGTCTATACTCTGATTAAAATCATACTTGGGGGAGCCTTGCTCCCCTGGGATATTGCAGCACATGCCCCAGGAGAGCTAGCTGCCCCAACGGAGACTTCCCACAGGCTGGAGCAAAGCAGGAGCGTGCCAGCAGCCTGGATCAGTCTGGACGGGCAACCAAAGCTTCAGGCCAAGCAGGGAGCTGTCATACATTTCGGGAAGCCCCAGCCCTTCTTGGCCCTGCTGCTTACACTGTGAAAGTGTAATGCGGGAAGGTGAAGAGGTGCAAACGTGCTGCAGCGTTGGTGCACGTAGGTACAGCAAGTCCACTGTGCCCTGGAAATGTGGCAGCCATCCCACGTGCATCATACAGCCCGTGGGCTCAGGGGCTGTGCTGCCATCCCGTACATCTGATGGATATTAATACAGATGCAGTGGTTGCTGAGAAGAAGGGCTACTGATACATGGAAGTGTGGCTCAGCAGTGTCTTTTTAATTATTTTTTTCCAATTAGTTGGGTATTTTTGCCTGTGGCCAAAAGATGAGGGAGGGAAGGGTCTTGCTTCCCCCAGTATCAAGCACTTCCATTTCCTCCTCTGGAGATGTGGCATTTTCATCCTGCCACCTCAGGAGCTTTGCCCAGGGAGGTTTACCCAGGGAGGCGGCAAACCTCGGGGGTGAGCAGAGCTATGAGCCCTGGGGCCGTGGGGGCTGGGGGTGCTTGAGGTAGGCACGTCACAGTTTGAATGTGCAGCCATGCACATTTTTAGTCACACGCAGCAGCAAGAGATACTGCCTGAGGGATACAGCAGTCTGCTCAGCTTTCTTCAAGGTGTGTCTGTCAAGCTGCTCGGGCAGAGATTGACTACTCTTTACCGTTGCAGAGGCGGAGTTCCTGTAGGCTGCCTGGCCTTTCCGCCTGCTCCGCACTGCCACAAAAGCAATTGCCTGAAATGGTCATGTCTTTCCTTACAATTAAAACAGAGTATCAAAAAAAAAAAGCCCAAATAAAGTACCAAGTAAATAAGTAAAATACTAAAGTAAAAGTGCCATCTCCTTTGTCACACTTGTCGTGGTTTAACCTGGCAGGCAGCCAAATACCACGCAGCCGCTCACTCACTCCCCCCCCGGCCCCGCAGTGGGACGGGGAGAGAATCAGAAGGGTAAGAGTGAGAAAAACTCGTGAGCTGAGATAAAGACAGTTTAATAGAACAGAAAAGGGACAATAATAGTGATAATGATAAAATATACAAAATAAGTGATGCACAATGCAATTGCTCACCACCCGCGCTGACCGATAACCAGGTACCTTCCTGGATCACGCCCACCATTCATATACTGCGCATGACGTCACATGGTATGGAATACCCCATTAGCCAGCTGAGCTGGCTGTCCTGATTATGTTCCCTCCCATCTTGTGTACCTAGCTCAGTCAGTAGGCATGGGAGCTGTCCTTGGACTAGGAGGGTACTTAGCAACAACTGAAAACATCAGTGTGTTACCAACATTCTCCTCATACTAAATCCAAAACACAGCACTAGGAAGAAATTTAACCCTATCGCAGCCGAAACCAGGACAACACTGCAGCTCCAGTGCTGCTGTAGCTTTCTGTGGTTCATTTCACAAACCTAAATCTAAAAAACAATTTGAAACCAAAGTCCGCTTTTCATTTTATTCTGGCTGTGCTTGGACGTGACTTCTATTGCTTTATACTCAGTGAAGGGAATCATTTGCCTAACTAAGGGCTTAAAAGAGCAGGCCCTAACTTTTTAAAAGACACTTAGGAGTGTGCACAGAATTCAAATTGATTTTGTGACTGTTATTTCTGCATTCAACTTTCATCTTACTGACAAATGTTTTATCATCTGCAGCACCAGAGATACTACGGGGATGTGCCTACGGCCCTGAGGTGGACATGTGGTCTCTGGGGATTATCACCTACATCCTGTAAGTCTAGACAGTGTTACAGAGTGGCTCATTTGTGAGCACCGGCCGGTGTTTATGACATTATAAGCTGTGCCATTGGAAGAGACGAGATCCTGAACTTTAATTATGATATTCCTGATCTTATTTAAGTAAGTCAAATCCTAGAGGAGCATGGCAAAACACTCAGGTTGTATATTTGATAAATGTAACACTTCTTCCTGAACGGCAGCAAGGTCTGCACAGAATCATGCTACTAACGTGAATGAAAAGCTGCTGAAAGCAAAAATACAAGCATACGAGTGTAAGAAACCATCGTATATTTTTTTTCTCATTCACACAAAGTGTGAGATATACTATGATCCTAAGGAGCTTCTCAACTACAGATGGGGCAAGGAGAAGTTAAGGTGCTTGCAGTAGTTTCACAGTGCCTGTGAACATTCCCAAATGCAGCTGCCCCATCTGTGTCAGCCACAGACACTGCTACAGCTTTGGCATCAGTGTTGCTGTCTCACAGCATCTCAGCCAGGAGGCAGGGAACAGCCCTGGACTCTCTGTCTGCAAATCAGTCCACTGGGTTAAATGATTAATGTTGAAGTGTTCCACTTCTTACAAAATAACCAGAGACGCTGTTGACAGAGGGCTGTGAGCGATGCTGGCCATGCATATTTTAAACAGTTCAAGTTGCAACTATAGACCAAAATTTTCCAACAGTTATGTCTAAAGGTAGGCACTTGTGTCTGCATCTTAATATGGCTAGTCCTAATTCAATTGGTAAGCATTGTAATTATTTTATTGTATCGATGGAATCTTTCAAAGGAAGATTATTGAGAAGGGAAAATTTTATCTGATGTATTGACACTTCTTTTTATGGGAGAATAAATAACTTCATTTATTCCCTTGGCAACACCAATGCTAAGCTGGCTTGTGTAGTTGTATGTACTTGCAGGACACCTTTTACAGGAAGAAAAAGGGATTTTACACATATACATTAAAGATATGGAGGATTTTATACATCTGGGCCATTTTCTTTCCCCTTCTAAGGACTTATTAACTGTGTCATAGAATCATAGAATCATAGAATCACAGAATAGTTTGGAAGGGACCTCCCTTCCATCTAGTCCAACCCCCCTGCTGTGGGCAGGGACATCTTCAACTAGATCAGGTTGCTCAGAGCCCCATCCAACCTGACCTTGAGTGTTTCCAGGGATGGGGCATCTACCACCTCTCTGGGCAACCTGTGCCAGTGTTTCACCACCCTCATTGTAAAAAATTTCTTCCATATACCTAGTCTAAATCTACCCTCTTTTAGTTTAAAACCATTACCTCTTGTGCTGTCGCAACAGGCCCTGCTAAAAAGTATGCTGCCGTCTTTCTCATAAGCCCCCTTTAGGTACTGATAGGCTGCAATAAGGTCTCCCCAAAGCCTTCTCTTCTCCAGGCTGAATAACCCCAACTCTCTCAGCTTTTCTTCACAGGAGAGGCATTTCAGCCCCCTGATCATTTTCGCGGCCCTCCTCTGGACCTGCTCCAACAGGTCCATGTCTTTCTTGTGCTGAGGGCCCCAGAGCTGGACACAGTACTCCAGGTGGGGTCTCACCAGAGCAGAGTAGAGGAGCAGAATCACCTCCCTCGACCTGCTGGCCACGCTTCTTGTGATGCAGCCCAGGAT